CAAATGATAACAAGGATGCCCTTGCTTCCATCACACACAAACACGGACCCCAATTTCTGCTCCTTCAGCACTTCCAAGTGAACTAACCTTCTTGATCCATGCTGGGTTTTAAAGTAGGGAATGCTCCACCCAGCCTGCCTTCCTGCAAACTCCCCTTGACCTGCCGAGCCAGACAGTCTGTCTGCAAAGGCTACGAGAAAGAAGCCATTCTCCATCTCCTTGGACTTTCCTGACAGCTGATAAGCCACTAACATTCCACAGTGCCCGCCTGGTCCCTGCCTGGGACGTGCCATGCGGCTTGCCGTGGTCTTCTTTCCTTGGAGGAGCTGCGGGTGGCTTGAAGGAGGCTGGAAAGGGAAGGAAGCAGCTCGCCTACACAGCTCAAATGTCCCACCCTGCCTTGGCAATCTCCCATTTTGCAAACTGAGGGTGCTGAATGGGGCCTGTCCATAAGTTGCCATGTCTCCAGCCGACCTCCTGATCTGCTGCTGTGCAGGGTTTGATACCTGGGAAGATCATCAGGTGGAGAATGTTTCAACAAGGGAATTCATCAAGGCTTCGGATATCAAAAGTTGGCACTGCCTAGCGGAGTAAAATCCGCAGGGACTCCTTTACCTTTTCAGATTCAAAGACTAGGAGAGGGTCTGAAGCATCTAAAGTAGGATCTGTCTGCACCTGGGAGTACCAGAATCAGGTTTTGAGTGTTTGCTACTTTTCCCATTGCTGTTACGCTCACTTTATTGTTCACTGTCCCAATAGATGTGGAGCAGTCCGTAAATACTCTTAATAAAGTAAATAAATGTGAACTTCCTTCACACTGTGAAACTCTTGCATGGCTGCCCTTTGCAGATGTTGAGTGATCCTGGGGGGTGGGGGGGAAGAGTGTACTTGGATTCAGGAACTGGGAGCTCCTTGTGTGACTCCTTATGACCTGATGGGGTTTGAATTGGAAGTGCTCCCCTCCCCAGTTAAATAGCCATGTTGATGCTGTTCTCTAGATGAACTTTCCCTTGGCTCCTGAGGACTTCAAAGGCAAGGCCATGTAGTTTCCCCAAAGAGATTGGCTTCTGGAATGTTTTGATATCCCAGACTAGCTTGCAAGCCTGGAATTTCCTGCTGTACTGACAGGCTGTACCACAACTTCCATTATCCCTCATCAACCATCATGCCAATTGAGTATGGTAGAAGGCACAGTTTAATCCTTCGTTAGGGTGGCAGGCTGAAGGAGGTTGGATTTACTCAAGGCAATGGGTTTCTTGGTCTTTGTAGACCCCCATAAAAACTCTTCGCTTTTATAAATGTGCTCCTTAAATTTATTTTAAATATATTGAACTAATAGAAAATATATTTAGTTAAGACTTTTGTAGGCTAAATGAGGAGGAGGAGGAAGAGGAGGAGGAAGAGCCCTCCCCAAAATAGCCCTCCCAACTTTTCCAGCTTCACTCTTACTATCCCACCCCATCACATGACTGTCGGGGGAAAAAGACAGCACTGCTTTATTTTCCTTCCAAAGAAAAATTAAAGAAAATGTCAACTCAAAAATCCAAGCCCCATTTTTTTTTTAAAAAAAAAAAAAAAAAGAAAAAGTATACTGGCTGTTGAGACGTTTCAGAATCAACTAAATTCAGGCAGAAAAGCTAACAGAGATGGGCAGACAGAAATGCCAAATTCCTGATTCTCAGACCAAAGAGGAGAAAACGTATTAGAGAATTGATCTATTGACGAGCCCATTAAACGCTGCTAAATTCTGTTGAAAATGTGGTCGCCACTAGGAAGCACTGGATCTGAATATCATCTGCTTCTCCTCTGTTGTTTGATTCATGGTCTTCACTTGGTTTCTTTGTTCTTTGACTATAAATAAGGATATAGATACGACTTAGTACTTACCATCATTAGGCTGAGTTTGGACTATCACAGGAGTGTTCTAAACGGTTGAGTCCTTCCCACTGGATCTGCCTAGATGTTATTCCAAAACTGCTAGCACTGGCCAGCTCTGACTGCAGGAGCCAAATTACTCAAGAGTAATGGCTACTCCTGAGGAGGCCGTCCTTTAATGGCACCTCTCCATGTAACTTCCTGCTTCATTGCCTCAGTGCTCTTTAGCTTTCAATCGAAGAGCATCAAGGCTCTTGTGGGCTATGCAAACACAGCTTGAGAATGAAGTTAAGAGTTTACAGATGGGGACTTAGGAACATGGAGTTGTTAGCACCTCATCACTGATCTGGGGGTCCAATCAGAACTGCTTGGGGCTTGCATCTTCAGTGAGATCTTATTTCTGTGAGACCTGCCTCACAGTTGGAGTATAAGGCTGAACCACACGCAGGACGCTTTGTAGAATGGTCTAGCCTCCGATTTCTGTTTCCAAGCTTAACTCCAGCAGAGGAAAGATTGTACCCAGACATGTATTAAAAATCAGAGAGCCTCTTCTGCCTTCTCTGTCCAAAGGCTGCTGCTTTGGTTTTTAAAAAGCAGTCGTCACTCTACCAGGACAAGCAAAATATTTTGAAGAGATCAAGATTGTATGCTTTCTGCTCCAAGAGCTCCTTTGCTTCTAGCCTCTGGCTAGATAGTCACATAAAAATGGCTGACTGAGTGGCGTCCCAGGTACAAAAAGGAACAATTACAACACAGCTGCAATTTTGCATGCCCGGTTTGGAAGGATTACGTATGTTGTTGTTTTGCCTTTTAATGTTATCCACTAAAGTCAAGGACAAGGAATTTATGAGCACCGAAGAAGGACTTGCATAATAAGATCAGTACAGCTTTATTCTTCAGATGTCACCAGAACTAACTGGATTGGTCAACAACTGCCCGGGAATTTGGTTCCAATTCTTTGTTCCTTAGGGCTACCATAACTCAGCCTTTTCTGTCTGGTGCCGTGTCTTTCATCCTGATGATTCTTCTGACCACATTAGTGAGGTCTCCAACATAATCAGCAAACTAAAGGTGCTTTCCAAAAGGCAACTGGACTCTCTTGGCTTTTCTCCTTGAAAATGTTTCACTTCTCATCCGAGAAGCTTCTTCAGTTCTGACTGAATGGTGGGGAATGGAATTACTTATAATCTTCGCAATCATCTGGTCATTAGCACTCTGAAGGCCAATCATTAGCTCTCTGAGAGTCACTGAGGCCACTTGGGGGGGTTTATATGTACCCTCATGGTCACCTGAACCATGTGCAAATGAGTGTGGAACTTCCTTGGAACTGCTGAAAGGACTGGGTTGTAGACAGGAGATAGGTGGTGCTTTATCCCTCCCCCTCTGTTGAGAGAGGATTGTTCAGTCTTAACACAGATGGCCTCTTTGACCCCTATTTCAAACCAGCAGTCCTCTTTGTCCAGAATATGACAAGTTCACATCAATTCTGGATGCTGAAGTCTACAGATTTTCAAGTTGCCAAGGTTGAGAAACACAGCTCCAGGTGCTGGGTGTGTGGGCTGACCCCAATAAAGTTGGAAGTAAAGAGGTTGCGATAGAACAAGAATATTACCAACCCCAACTGTAGATGTTCTCAACAACCATGGCTGAGCATGTTGGTATTCCTAAAAAGCCATGGTGACGCAGTGGTCAGAATGCAGCATTGCCGGCTAACTCTGCCCTCTGCCAGGAGTTCGATCCAGACCAGCTCAATGTTGATTCAGCCTTCCATCCTTCCAAGGTTGATAAAATGACGACTGAGATGGTTGGGGGCAATAAGCTGACTCTGTAAACCAGGGGTCCCCAACCCTCCATCCGTTGACCAGCACTGGTCTGCAGCATGCCAGCAACTGGTCCGCACAAACAAGCAAAGCCCCATCCGCGGGATGCAGGCAGCACACAAAACCATGCACCCCCTGGTCCATGGAAAAGCCTTTCTCCACGGAACCGGTCCCTGGTGCCCAAAAGGTTGGGGACCTCTGCTGTAAACCACTTAGAGAGGACTGTAAAGCACTATAAAGCGGTATACAAGTCTAAGTGCTTTTGCTAGTGCTAGAGAGAAGTTGTTTGTTCTTTGTGGTTTGGAACTCGGATACTTCAGATTTCAACTTTCACAGCCTTTGCCATTGACCCATTCAAGTGACAATAATTCAGGGGTAGGCAACCCCGGCTCTTTTATGACTCATGGACTTCAACTCCCAGAATTCCTGAGTCAGCACAGCATAGCTGGCTCAAGAATTCTGGGAGTTGAAGTCCATGAGTCATAAAAGAGCCGGGGTTGCCTACCCCTGGTCTAATTGAAGCCCTGATCTCTTCTTTACATGAGATGCATATCAAAAAGGCATGGGACTTCTATGCAGCTGCCATATTCGTTTTTTTTTCCACCCAGATGTCTCTGCCCTTGATTTTGCTATTGATAGGATTGATTATATATCACACCAAGCTCCATACCTCTTCTGATTTTTCTTTTTCATGGAACACAGAATAAGGGTTGGAAGGGACTTTGGAGGTTTTGTAGAGACATGTCGGCACCACCAATGTATAAGCGACAGAAAATCTGGACTATAAAGCCAACAACAGGGGCCCCATGGAAATTGTTCTTGCCATGGCATTGCCACCCAAATTGAGATCTGGATCACAGAATACAGAATAACAGAGATCAAGGGACCTTGGAGGTCTTGTAGTCCAACACTCTGCTCAAGCAGGAAACCCTATACCAGGGGTAGGCAACCTCGGCTCTTTTATGACTCATGGTTCAACTCCCAGAGTTCCTGAGCCAGCTATGCTGAGGGGAAAGGGAGAGATTTCCAAGCTGAGCCATGCTGGCTCAGGAACTCTGGGAGTTGAAGTCCATGAGTCATAAAAGAGCCGAGGTTGCCTACCCCTGCCCTACACGATTCCAGATAAATGACTCTCCAAAACCTTCAGTGATGGAGCACCCACAACTTCTTGAGGCAAGCCATTCCACTGGTTAATTGTTCTCCCTGTCAGGAAATTTCTCCACACCTATTCATTTTTTCCCTTTCTCCTCTGCCTCCTTCTCATCTTTCCTATAGTACCAGAATCGATCAATCAGTCAGCCTTACCTTTAACGAAGACATATAACTTGGCTTTCAGTTCCTCCGTGAAGGGGGGTTGGTCATAAAAGCAGGTGAAATAACCGGTGTCGTTGGCCACAGCTCGGTTAACACCAATGGTGCTGCAGGAATGCCACGGCTTGTCCGAACACTTCTGCTTGTGAACATGCCACCGCTTGCTGTGGGTGATCTGCTCATCTCCAGCTTGCCAGGTCAGTCCATGCGCTGAGCCCCTGGCAACAGAAAGTGCCATTCCATCAGTTTCAGGCATAACGTAAGATGCTGCCAGGCAACTGGGCACAACCACGTCGCTTTTTGCCACCTGGTCAAGCACATCCTTGGCCTATGTGGAAATCATTCAGTAGACTACAAAGGACAATCTAAGAAAATGTGACACCCCTATAGAAAAGACCCTGTGAATATGGAGAAGAACAACCCATCTCACCCACGCTATGGCACATACTATGTCCTTCAACATGCGCAGAGGAAGACCTCATGCCGGGAAAGAGAATGCTGTCAGCATGGCTGGCTGGGGAATTCTGAGAGTTTTGAAGTCCACAGGTCTTAAAGTTGCCAAGGTTGGAGACCACAGCCCTAGAGAGTACTTTAGTTCTCCCCTTCCTCCTATCCCTCTTCTGTGGTCCATCAAGTGACATTGGTACTAGGAGCTCTTCTGCTGACCAGTTAGGAGCCATTTTTAGTCTCCCCTGGCTATCCTCCTCTGACTTTGTAATCCTAATCACTAAGTTATCCAATTGTATTAGTTTTGACCATACAAGTGCAAAAGTTCAATTCATTCCCTACTTTGAATTTAAGATACTGTCCTTGAGAGCACGACTTTTTCTATCTTGGTTCTGACCATGAATAATAATTCTCCTCCTCCTCCTCCTCCTCCTCCTCCTCCTCCTCCTCCTCCTCCTCCTCCTCCTCCTCCTCCCCTCCTCCTTCCAACAACACCAACAATTGGCCAAGATTGGGCTGGATACTACCTGCTGATGCTTTCACTGAATTTTCAATATAAAGAGTACACAAAACACTTGTGACTTATGTTGATTGCAAAATTGATTTATCTGGCATCCAGTTGCATAATTGCATTACCCACTATCATAAGTTCTTTCATGTTGAAGAAGATCCTGTAAACCACCTTTTTTTGCTGCCACTAAATCCTGCAATCTTGTCTTCTTTCAGCAAGGCTGTCACAGATCAGCAACTTCTGAAGCTGCTTCTGGAGATAAATTAACTTGTTCAAAGGTTCTGGGAGATTAAAGTGCGCAAGTGCTGTATTTCTTTTCTGAAATGCAACTGGCCATTTGCAAAGATAACCACAGCAATAACAATGCACTTGTAGGGTGTTGGGGTATGTGTGTGTCATAAAAGCCAGGATGGTGGCTATCACCATGCAGAACAGAATGGGACAACTTGCCATGGCCATAGGCAATTTGCCGCAGGACAATTCAACAATTTATTGAAAATAATTAAAACATTATTTCAATTTTGTCACTCCCATTCCCATTGTTGTGCCTCCTTTGGCATCCTTTCTTTAATGATTATATCCTAATCATTTCTTCGATATTAGTGTAACCCTTGTCCCACTGCGAGTTAGAATAGAGTAGAGCTTGAAGGGACCTTGGAGGTCTTCTAGTCCAGCCCCCCGCTCAAGCAGGAGAACCTATGCCATCTCAGACAAGTGACTGTCTAGTCTCTTCTTAAAAACCTCCAGTGATGGAGCACCCACGATTTCTGGAGGCCAGCTGTTCCACTGGTTAATTGTCTTCACCGTTAGGAACGTTCTCCTTATTTCCAGGTTGCTTCTCTCTTTGATCAGATTCCAACCATTGTTTCTCATCCTGCCTTCTGGTGCTTTGGAAAATAATTTGACCCCCTCTTCTTTGTGGCAGCCCCTCAGATACTGGAATACTGCTACCCTGTTGCCCCTGGTCCTTCTTCTCTTTAGACTACCCCAGGGGTAGGAAACCTTGGCTCTTTTATGACTCATGGACTTCAATACCCAGAATTCCTGAACCAGTCATGCTAACTCAGGAATTCTGGAAGTTGAAGTCCACAAGTCATAAAAGATCCATGGTTGCCTATCCCTGCTAGCCAAACCCAAGTCCTGTAGCCGTTCTTTGTATGTTTTAGTCTCCAGACTTTGGATCATCTTAGTTGCTCTTCTCTGAATTTTTTCTAAACTCTCAACATCTTTTTTATGATATGATGACCAAACTTTTCCATGGCACGTTGTCCTAGACCCCATGCAAGCTCTGCCCAGTTTCTACATGCATCGCAAGGCTTGAATTGTAGCAGCCTGCCATCCAAACCTTTTTTTTTTTTTACTGTCCCTATCTTGGACACCCCTCTGCATTGTTAACTCTAGAGAGAAATTATTATTACTTTCCAATGTATTGCAACAAGTTGGCTTGTTTGACGTTGCCAGCAATGTTGCTATGCAATACTGGATGACACTACAAGAAAAGAAATACAGGTAGTTCTTGACTTAGGACAGGGGTCTGCAACCTTGACAACTTTAAGACTTGTGGACTTCAGCTCCCAGAATTCTGGGAGCTGAAGTCCACAAGTCTTAAAGTTGTCAAGGTTGTAGACCCCTGACTTAGGACAACAAGTGGGACTAGAATTTCTATTGTTAAGCAAGGAAGTTGCTAAGTGAATCAAATCTGATTTTAAAACCTCTTCTCTCCAAAGTTATTAAGTGGATCACTGCAACTGTCCAATGAATTATGCAGTTGTGAAGTGAATTTGGCTTCCTTCATTGATTTTACTGACAAGAAGCCACCCGGGATGGTTGCAAATGGCGATCATGTTATAAATGCATGATGGTTGCCAAGTCCCCAAATTTTGATCACGTGGCTATGGGGATGCGCTGTGACAATCGTCAATATGAAGACCAGTTGTAAGTCACTGTAAGTCACCTGGACTAGTCCCTGCAGTTTTCTTGGCAGATTTTCAGAAGTGGTTTGCCATTGGCTTCTTCCCAGGGCTGAGAGAGAATGACTGGCCCAGGATCACCCTGCCAGCTTTGGCTAAGATAGGACTAGAACTCATGGCTTACGGTTTCTAGCATGATGTCTTCATCTCCATACCAAACTGGTTTTCACAATGTTGTAACTATCCTATTCCAAAGCCTGTTTCTGAAGTTCTTGCAAATCGTCTACCCTGCCCACGCATTCTTCATGGCTGTTTTAGTATCTCTGCCTGGAACTATATTTATTTTTCTCTCTGGCCCAAGTTGTGATTTTTTAGGCTGCTTTCTTATGTGTCAGATTCTAGAACAGCGGTTCTCAACCTGTGGGTCGGGACCCCATTTGGGGTCAAACGACCATTTCACGGGGGTCGCCAACCAACGCAGTCCGCCATTTTTTCCCCCTTTTCCTTAGCTGTGCTACTCCCTTTTATTCTATTGGCTTTTGAAAGCCAATAGAACAGACTCTGTTGAATAGAGTCTAATTCTATTGGCTTTCAAAAGCCAATAGGAATTGTCCAGGCTGTCTCTGTCCTGCTGAGCCCACCCAAAGTCCCATTCTGCAAACAGTGCTGCACCAGTTGAGTAGTCCTCGACTTATGACCAGTTGAGTAGTCCTTGACTTACAAACGGTTGGGGGGTCGTGGTATTAAAAAGGTTGAGAACCACTGTTCTAGAAGGTATTTCAGAATAACAGAGTTGGAAGGTACCTTGGAGGTCTTCTTGTCCAACCCCCTGCTCAGGCAGGAAACCCTCTACCATTTTTAAACAAGAGATTGTCCAATCTCTTCTTAAAAGCCTTCAGTGATGGAGCACCCACAACTTTTGAAGGCAAGCTGCTCCACTGATTAATTGCTCTCACTGTCAGGAAATTTCTCCTTAGTTCTAGGTTAGATTCTCTCCTCGATTAGTTTCCATCCATTGTTTCTTGTCTTGCTTTCAGGTGCTTTGGAAAATAGGTTGACTCTCTTTTCTTTGTGGCAGCCCCTCAAATATTGGAAGACTGCTATCATGTCCCCCCTTTTTTTCTCTAGATTAGCCATACTCAATTCCCACAATATTTCAGGACAACATCTCCTGGAAATCTAAATTCTCACTTAGTTTGGAATTTTGAGGATGCCAGGAATTTACCTGCAAGTTATGCTGAACGAATCTCCAGCTTCCACTATAATATAATCACGTTTGATGTTCAGTTCAGGTTTCATAAGCCTTTCTTGCTTCGCCAGAGCTGAGCCAGATGGAGGGAGGGAGAGAGAGAGAAAGGAGAGAGAGGGATTAGATGAGAGCAATCTTAATTATTTTTTTCCTTATTTTTCATGATAAATAATAGTAATCGTATAGTCCCATGGCTTGGTGGTTTTCTTCAAAGTTTATAAAACAGAAAGTTATTCTACTTTATTGCTTGTTTATGAAAACAGAAGTAACTTTTAACATTCCTTAGTCATTCCATCCTAGTTTACAGTGCATTTCTCTAAGATATACATCTGAAAGAATGAAATCAAAAGAGTAACCCATTTTCTAAAATGTCCAGTCCTAGCATTGGAATAAGAATTTTTATGTAAATTTGAGGTTGGCAATACTCTTATTGGTTTGTAACTATGGATACATTTTAGGCAATCATTCATCAGATAAAAATACTAGATGTATAACCATTTTAAAAAAATCAAAATTAAAAACAAAAGAAATAAAACAATGTAATCTTTATGTTGATTTTGACACTAACTTTCCATTTATAGAACATTCACATGGGCTAAGATTTAAAAACTAAAGAATTACAGCAAGAGGAATACAGGATGGAAAAACATGACAACTAAATATGCAGGGATACACGTCCTTGACAGGGGAACAGTAATTAACACTGTAAACTGTTCTCACCCACTGCTTTCAGGTGGTAAATTGTCCAGCCAAATAAATCTGTGAACTAGCATGAATTGCATCCTATTTATTTAGGTCACAGGTCGGCAACTTGCAGCTCTGGAGCCGCATGTGGCTCTTTGAGCCTTCCCCTGTGGCTCCCAGCCTCCTCTGCCATTTGCAGAGAGAGACAGAGACACAGAGAGGCATGTGCGCTTCCCTGCTTCTCTCTCTCTCTCTCTCTCTCTGTGTGTGTGTGTTTATGTGTAAAAGAGAGTGCACTTACAGTGTTCTCCAAGAGCTGAAAAGCTTACTGGGCGGAGCTCCTCCCTTTGCTGCGTCTCTGCAGGAAGCAGGAAGCAGGAAGCAGAAAGGGCAGGAGAGAGTTAGCTAGCCCAGCTAGGCTGACTCAGGAATTCTGGGAGTTGAAGTCCATGAGTCATAAAAGAGCCGAGGTTGCCTACCCCTGAGCTTGTTGGAGAACAGCTTGAAGCCAACTTGCCAGGTGAGCAGCAGATAGGAGAGAGGGAGAGAGGAGGGAGAGAAAGAGAGAGAGAGAAAGAGAGGGAGAGAGAGAGAGAGGGGGGGGGAAGAGGATTGGCGGACCAAGGGAAGATAGAGAGAGAGGGAGGGAGGGAGAGAGAGAGACCCTTTTGACATCTAAAATGAAGATAACACTGCATATATCCTTTTTTACCTGTGTGTGTATATATATCAAAACAGTGATCACCAAGAGAATGCTTTAAGAGAATAAAATTTAATTAATCAACCAAGCTTTCGTCAAAATACATTTGACATCGTCAGGGTTAAAAAGCAAGTATAGGGAGTGGACTTATATACCGTTATCAAGCATCCCGTTATCAAGTATCTGCTTCCGGCTCTTAGAGCGCGTCATAGGCCCCAGCTGTTTAGAATGTAACCCAAGCATGTCTCCTTTAATACACATTCTTTTGTTCCTAGCTTGCATTCCCTCACACAGCACTTGATCGGTAGTGCGAGGGTGGAGTGCGAGGGTGGAGTTTTGTCCCTGCTGCCTGGCTGCCATGTCCTTGGCTGTGCTGCTCCACATGGGCCATGCCCACGGACAACTCTCCTCCAGGGAGGCTGCTGGTGAGGAGGGGGCTGCAGGGAGAGGTGGGGCTGGGGCGACGGCACGAGTGCCCACAGAGAGGGCTCTGCGTGCCACTTTTGGCACGCATGCCATAGGTTTGCCACCACTGTCCTATAGTGTCACAAGCAACCTTGCATTGGGCATTGGGGAGAGAGAGAGGGAGGGAGACAGAGGGGGGGGAGAGGGAGGGTCATAATTCATGTTTTGCTAACTGTTGCATTCTTCTCCAAAGTCATTTCTGTGGTTCTTTACATTTGTAAAACCATGATGAATGGTTAGGCATTATGTGAAAATGCGGCCACATTCTCTTATTCAGTGAATCACAAATGTCAGGTACAAGGCACCACACTGTGAATTGATCAGAGAAGTATCTTCATTGCTACTCGCCTATTTACAAGAATCTCACCAGATTAACCATGCTTTCTCGAGAACAATCAGATAAGTTCTCTGGAGATTTAGGAGGGGGTCAGGTCTCCATCACTTCCTCTCCTGTAAGAATTCCAGGATGGCTAATCTCTTAACTCTACTCCCACTTTAACTATAGAGTCCACCACACAACTAAGGAACCTGTAGTTTAGGGCTACATATGAACCTCACACCTCAAAAAAGAACACTTGAAGAACTAGAGATATTGACCATTCTTGAAGAAATAGAGATACTGAAACAGAACTAATGGGTTAAAAAGCCAGTTGTAAATTGTCTCAAACTCTTTGCAATGCATTGCCAACCATGTGCACCATGACTTCATTGGGTGCAAATGTTCTGATTTGCATCGGTTGCCAATAATGTCACAATGTCCTGACAGGTGTGAAATAATGACTGGCTGAATGCCTATCAGGTAGCACTGAAGAAAATGCAAATTTAGGCTGGCATTAAAACTGCTGTCCAAATATGTAATCTGGAAAGGATTTTTTTTTTAATGATGAACATGAAACAACTTGGAAAAATACAGTAAGCTCCTGTGTGCTAGGTCAATTGAGCTATCTGTGATGCAAATCCATATTTATTTTCCAATAAAACTAGTCATTCAGAAGAACAATAAATAGGGTGACAGCATAATTTGGATTCTGGAAGACTCTTGTCTATGGTTTCCATCAAGATCGGAGAGTCCTCCTCCTCCTCCACCTTCTCCTCCTCCTCCTCTCCACAAACCCTACTCCCTTCTAATACTGATGATGTCCTCTAGTTGGGTCATGAAACATCTGCAAGAAAACAGCCAAGATCAGAATGCATCAAAGACTCCAAAATTCAGCCCTGACCTGCAAATACTGTATTCTCTTCTATTGGTACCACTTAAATATGCATTGCAGGATGTAAAAAAAGTGGATGGTGTTGTTTGCCCTGGTGGTGCCATTGCTGACCCCCCCTCCAATGGATATACATAACATCTAGGTTTGTATCCAACAATTTAAATGCATCTGAAAACGCCCACATCTCCCAGTTGATTTCCTCCTATGTGTAGGCCAGCAGCCTTTCTCTACCTTATCTGAGATCCTCAATTTATTTCCATCTAAACTTATTTACGTTCAGGCTATAAAAACATATCCTGTTTCATGCACTGCTGAAAGGGGAATGTCCCTCTCGTGTGGCTTGTCCTTCTCCAATTAGATTTGCTCTGCAGAGTCACCAGCGATGGGGACGGGAGCTCCGCTTTCAAAATATTTGCTTTTAGTGGAATTATTACACGGCAGTGCCTGGGCATCCCACACGGCCCTCTCTTTGTGATCCTAACAAATATAACGGCCCTATTTAAATGAGGCCAGGATGAATCAGAAATATGCTGCGTTTCCCCAATGGCTTTGAAAGAGCCCTTATCGGGGCTGTAAAAATCATTTTACCTGTTCTATCTCAGCCAGGATAATTATGACCAGTAATAAAGACTCAGCTGTACAAACACAAGTCATAATTTTGTGGGCATGCAAAAAAACACCAGCAGCCCAGAGCAGTGTTTCTGTGTCTCCATGCACACACACGCCTTTGTCATGTGAACACAACTGTTTTTAAAAGACTGCAGCAGAGAATCGAAAAAGGAAGTGAACATGGCTGAGTTTTTCCCCAGCCGGAGATGTGGAAGGAGTATGACATATTAGTGCCGCTTTATAAAGCCTTAGGAAGACCACACTATTGCATCCATTTTTGGTCACCACATTACAAAAAAGAGGTTGAGAGTTTGGAAAAAGTGCAGATGATTAAACTTAAGACTCTGGCTAGTCTAGAGAAAAGAAGGACTAGGGGCGACACGATAGCAGTCTTCCAGTATTTGAGGGGCTGACACAAAGAAGAGGGGGGGGGGGGTCAAACCTATTTTCCAAAGCACCAGAAGGAGAGACAAGAAAGGGTGGATGGAAACTAATCAAGGAGAGAAGCAACCTGGAATTAAGGAGAAATTTCCTAGCAGTGAGGACAATTAACCAGTGGAACAGCTTGCCTCCAGGAGTTGTGAGTGCTCCATCACTGGAGGCTCTTAAGAAGAGACTGGGCAACCATTTGTCTGAAATGGTATAGGTCTCTTGCCTGAACAGGGGGTCAGACTAGAAGACCTTCAAGGTCCCTTCCAATTCTGTTATTCTGAAGCTGTTTTGCAGCTGTAAAACTCCAGGCTGGATTTTTAGAGAGTTGACCCACAATAGACTTTCTTCATCTGACTTTCCATCCTTCTTCCCTCCCCCTCCCTTTTAAGCAGAAAGCAAAACCTAAAAACTTCCTCTCTTTTCCTATCTGCAGACATTGTTTTCCATAGCTTCGTTGGCCATTAAAACTCTGGCGAACACAGCTCTGCTTCTCAAGTGAAGGCAAACTGACCTATTTTCACATGTTCAGACCAATCCACTAATTGAAAGCTCGGCACTTGTCAACCGACTCATCTTCATGACGGTTGCCGTGTCCCAGGGTCACGTGATCCCCTCTGACAAGCAGCGTCAATGGAAGCCAGATTCACTTAACAACCGGGTTACTAACTGAGCAAATGCAGTGATTCACTTAACAACTGTGGCAAGCGAGGCTGTAAAATGGGGCAAAACCCACTTAACAAATGTCTCGCTTAGCAACAGAAACGTTAGACTCAATTGTGGTCATAAATCAAGAACTCCTTGTACTGATGATCTCCCCTCATCCCAAACAGGGAATGGGATGCAGGTAATCCTTGATTTATGACTATTTGTTTAACAATGGTTCAAAGTTATGACCCATCCTCAAAATTATGACCACATTGTATCTGTGGTCATGTGATTATGATTCAGCTACTGGGCAACCAGCTTGCAATT